TGATAGATCTGAATTGAGCAGCGGCGGCCGGCCTAAGGGCTGGCGCGAAATAGCGCTCGCCGCCACATGGCTCCCCATGCGCTGGGGGCCCACCCTCCGGGAGCCAGCAGGCAGGAAGCTAGCCAGCCCGAAGACTGGCGCTACCCACCCGTGGCTCCCTGTGCGCCGGAAGCCCTCCTTCCGGGGAATGACGAAGTTGGGAGTGAGTCGCTGGTCCGAAGACCCCAAAAGACCGGCGCTCCCCGCCCGAGGCTCCCCGTGCACTGGGGGTCCACCCTCCAGGAGCCACCAGGCAGGAAGCTAGCCACCCCAAAGACTGGCGCTGCCCACCCGCGGCTCACTGTGCACCGGAAGCCCTCCTTCCAGGGAACGACCAGGCCGGGAGTGAGTTGCCTGTCCGAAGACCAGCGCTCCCCACCCGAGGCTCCCCATGCGCTGGGGGCCCACCCTCCGGGAGCCACCAGGCAGGAAGCTAGCCAGCTGCAAGACTCCCTAGAAGGTCTTATATGGGCCTAATTAAGAAAGTAAACAACAGGTTGAGCAAAGCCAGAGAATGTTTCAGTTGCCTAACACAAATCCCCAAAAACCAAAAGACGAAAATGTCCTGCCTATGCCTGTGAACAGGCTGGTACTCGTTTGAAGGAGGGATGGGGGGGCACTTTTATCCCTAGCTTTTCGCCTCCAGAAAAATAAAAATGTGTTCAGTCCCAGAATGTAATGTATCTCATTTCTCTGAGGCCTGCACTCCTGTAATCCCTATGTTGGCTTAATAAACCCTACTCATGGCTCTGACTGTTGTGTCCTGAAAATTGTTCTCCTGCAATGAAATCAGTGAACCTACAGAGCTGGATGAAATTGGGGAAACTCTTAGCCCCAGCCCAGTGACAGTCATGATCCCTTTTGAGTTAACTTTTGTTATCAGCTGAGAAGTTTTGGTGAAATGTTTTTTCTTTGACTAGGATTCCGATTGCCCCAGTGGAACCATTTCTTAAAAACATTGTTTGCTTCACTGAATTGATTGAATCTTTTTGAAAAAGCTGGTGACTATTCATGCTTGGAACCGTTTCTGAAATCTCCATCTCTACCTCTGCCAATACCACATAAACTTGACTGCTGTAGTTGTATAAGAAATAAACTTGAAGAGAGTCGTCATTCCATTTTCTTTTTCTTTTCAACGTTGACTTAGCTCTTGTTCCTCCTCCTTTCCATATACATTTTAGAATAATATTGTATATGTCTACAAAAAATGCTGTTAAAATTTTTGTAGGACTTATGTTGAACCTGTAGATCATTTTAGGAAGCCTTTATGTTTTACTGTGTTCAGAGTCTTTATATCTGTGAACATAGAATATCTCTTCTAATAAATGAACCTTCCATTTCTTTGAAAGAGCATTTGTACCTTTATTATGGACAGATCACATTTCTATTTCAGTCTCCACTTGTTTATTTATTTTGTGGCACTAGGGATAGAAACAGCAACACTCTACCAATAAGCTGTTATCCCCAGCCCTTTTTACGTTTTGAGATAGGATCTCACTAAGTTGTCGAAGCTGCCCTTGAACTTGTAATCCTCTGCCTCAACCTCCTGAATATCTTAGACTATAGACGTGTGCTACTGAAACTTGTGTTTATTTTTTATATATAAAAATATATTTGCTTTTTTTGTTTGTTGAACTTGTATCTCACAGGCTTACTGAACTTGTTTATTAGTGCTAGGAGGTTCTTCTTGTGTGCAAATCCCCTGGAATTTCCTGTAGCGAACATCGTTGGTCTCTCCTTGTACCCCGGAGAGAAACAGCGGTGGGTATGAGAAAAATAAAGACAAGAGACAAGAGCTGGGGTCAGGTGGAGTTACCTCTTGCCTGATGAGCAGGAGGACTCACTTCAACAGTAGGGGCGTTTATTTTATACGCTTGCAAAGTTAGTATCATGGGGGGTAATGTTGCCTAGCGACTAACGACTGTAATTGTCTGGCGGGATGCCTTTTTCAATACTGAGGTAGCTTCACTGCTTGACCAATAACCAGCTCCAGTGGCTCCCAACAATTTCCAATATAGATAATCATGTTATCTGCAAATACAGATAGCTTTATTTTTTCCTTTCCAACCTGTAAGCCTCTCGTCTCTTTTTCTTCTTGATTGTGGTGGACAGAACCTCCAACATTTTTTTGAATAAGAGTGGTAAGAGTGGAGGTCCTTGCTTTCCTCCCACTTTTAGAGAAAAAATATTCAGTCTTTCACCACCATTTATGTTAGCTATAGGTATTTTGTAAGGGCTTTTTGTAAGGCTGGGAAAATTTCCCTCTGCTCCTGGTACATTGAGAGTTTTTATCATGAGTAAGTGTTGAATTTTTAATATGCTTTTTTTCTACATCAAGTGATATGATTTTTCTTCATTAGCCTGTTGATATAATGGATTACGCTGGTTGATTTTTCAAATATTGAATAAGCCATGCAAATCCCCCTCAGCTGGGGTGAACTGCTCTTTTTATACATTGTTGGACTTTGTTTAGAATTTTGCATCTAATTTCATGAGTCATATGAGTCTTTAGCTTTCCTTTTTCTTCTGTCTTTGTCTGGTTTTGTTAGGAGGCTAATATAGACTCATAAAACAAGTTAGGAAGTGCTTTATCTTCTTTTATTTTCTGGAGTTGATTATGCAATATTGATATTAACTCATCTTTGAATTCTTGATATAATTCTGCAGTGAAACTCAGCATAGGTATTTATTGAAAACTTTTTAATTATAAGCTCAATTTCTGTAAAGATATAGGACTGTTCAGGTTATGTATTTCAGATTGGCTTTATTTTGTTTATGGTTTTCAGAGAATTGATCCTTTTCTTTTTTCAGTACAGGAGATTGACCCTAGGGCCTTCACACTGAGCTATAGCCCAGTGATTTTGTTTTGTTTTGTTTTGTTTTTTGAGACAGGATCTTGCTAAATTTCCTAGGCTATACTCAAACTTCTGATCTTCCTGCCTCAGTTTCTCAAGTAGCTGGGATTTGTCAGTCTTGAGCGAAGTTTATAAAGTTTTTTCATTTTGAATTTTACCTTTCTTTCTTGTTTTTTTTTTTTTTTTCTTTCTTTTTTTTTTTTTTTTTGCCGTACTGGGGACCGAACTCATGACCTTGAGCTTGCCAGGCAGGTGCTTATGCCACTGAGCTATATCCCCGACCCTGTTTTTTTGTTTTCTTTTTTCTTTTTTTTTTTTGGTTTTTTTCCGGTACCAGGAACCGAACTCACGACCTTGCTCATGCCAGGCAGGAGCTTTTGCCACTGAGCTAAATCCCCAGCCCCTTGTTTTTTTGTTTTCAATGTCACCGCTTTCTGTCTTATCTGATTTATTTCCTTCCTTGGGTTTTCTCTTTTTTTTTTTTTTTTTTTTTTTTTAGGGGAGTTTGCTATTTTTCTTGAGATAGGAGCTTAGGTTATTGATCCAAAATCTTTTCTGTTTTCTAATGTAATCATTTAGTGTTTTAAAAAATTTCTTTCATGGCCAGGTGTAGTGGCACATGCCTATAATCCCAGCACTTGGGAGGCTGGGGCAGGAGGATCACCAGGAGTTCGAGGCCAACCTGAGCTACGCAGTGAGTTCAAAAGCCAGCCTGCACTCCACAGCATCTGCGTATCTCAAAACAACAACAAAAATCCCAAACCAGACCAAAACAAAAAAATACCAGCCAAACAACCAAACGAAAAACTTCTCTCTCTGAACTCCCTTAGTTCCTCACAAATTTTGGTAGATCATTTTTCTTTTCATTCAGTCTATGTTTTTAAAAAATATTATCCTTTGAAATTTTCTTTTTGACTGATGAGTTATTTGTTTTTTTTGTTTGTTTGTTTTTGTTTGTGTTTGGTATTAGGAATTGAACTCAGGGCCTCACACTTGCCAGGCAAAACTGATGAGTTATTTAGAAAAGTGTTGCTTAATTTCCCAAGTTTCAGCAGATTTTCCTGCCATCTCTTTTTATTGATTTCTAGTTTGATTCAGTTCTGATCAGAGAATATAGTAGGTATGGTTTCAGGTCTGAATTTGTCCAGATTTGTCATTTAAATTTTTTTTTTCTGTTCTTCCTTCAGTTTCCCATTCTTTTTTTTTTTCTTTTCCTCTTGCTGGTTGCTTGAACATGTTTTTAGTGACCCATCCTGGCTTCTTAATGTTTTTGAATATCTAACTTTGTGTAGATATTTTAGTGATTACTGTAGGCATTACCATATGCACATATAACTTATTCCAACCTAGTGCTGTCTGTGTTTTATTATTTGAAGGAAAATGTAGAAATATTTTCCCATTTGTCTCCCTTTATCTTCCTACTTTGCATTTAAAAATGTGATTGCTCAGCCATTGTTTCTCTCAATTCTTTCCAGGCTAATTCTTACTCTATTTTTCTGAGGTCATGATGATAAAATGGTAGGCATTTATTTTTAGTGTCCCATGAGTTCTTGAGTCTGTTTTTTCCCCAATCAGTTCTTTCTCTGTTGTTGATTGGGTAAATTCCATTGCTATGTCTTCAAGTTTACTGATTCTATCCTCTATCATCTCTATTATTAAGCCTCTGTAGTGATTTTAGCTTTCAATTATTGTATTTTCAGCCTCCTAGTTTTCATTTGTTTCTTTTTTTATTAGATCTCTGCTAAGACTTTCTATTTTTCATTTATTTCAAAAGAACATACACTTACTTGAGCTATTCTTATGACTGCTGCTTTGAAATGCTTGCCAGGTAAAACCAATATCTGATCCTTCTAATCGATGGGTTCAATAGAACAGGGTGCCTTGATTCTCTTTCTCTTTCTCATTTTCAGGTTAGCTCAAAATAAGTGGTGTGAGAGGACTGGTATTTTATTGAAGTGTTTTATTTAGTAGGCCGTCTCCCTCTTCAGGTAGTACCTGAAGTTTCTAGACTATTTTTATGGGCTTTGGCTTCATTGTCAATGTTTGGAGACTGTAAAATACTGTCTGTGATCAGCTTTCTTCTTTCGGTAGTGTTGGTGCTCCTGTTCAATCCCTGCTGTGTCTGCTTGGGAACTTGTATGCATTTCCTTTCCTAGGTGACCTAATGCGGCTGAACCACTGTCCTGCCACTGTGGGCAGGACAGGGGCACTAGAAACAAACAGGGGCACTAGAAAGTGCAGGACCTGGTGTCGTCGTGCCGCTGGAAGATGGGCATGTGGTGCAGTGCTCTGCTGATGGTGCCTCTGCAGGTGGATTAGCCTGCCTAGTGTGGCACAGATATGGAATCCGTCAGCCTGGGCTTCCCTGCTGCTTGTCTGAACATATTGTCTACCAGCCTGTGCCCAGGCAAGCATGGCCTGGAGCTTTGTGTTGCTGGCTCCTGATGTGGCACTCTGGTCATAGAGAAGGGTTGTGATGGTGCCCTGGGCTTTGCTCTGGGCCTGCTGGGCCCCAGTTGTAGAGCTTGGGCTAGTACATCTGCGTCTTTGCTGTTATTGGTGCAGGTTGATGAAATGACTTGCCACAACCCTAGTGGTGGAGAAGTGTCATAGTTACTTTCTTGTCAGAGACAAATGCCTTATCAGAGACAGAAACCTAACACCCACGGCTTAAGGGAGAAGCTTATTTTGGCTTCTAGTTTTAGAGGTTTCAATCCATATTCAGCTGGGTCCTAGCAGAATGGCACAGCGGAGGAGAGTTGCTCATGGCACGGCAGTTAGTAGCCCAGGGGAGAGAGAGAGAGAGATACAGAGACAGAGACAGAGACAGAGACAGAGACAGAGACAGAGAGAAGGAGAGGGGAGAGGAGGGGAAGGGAGGAGAGAAAAAAGAGATAAACTCTTCCAGGTCATGTTCCTTGTGACCCACCTCCTCCTACCAAGCTTCACCTCCAACATCACATTTAGAGATAAACTCACCATTGGGCTAATTCACTGAGGAGTATCACACCCCCATGATCCAACAATCTCCCCAAAGCCCCACCTATGAGTGGATGAGGTTTGAGGGGGCATCTAGATATAAACCTTAACAAGTAGTGACTAGGGATCCCTTTCATGTTTCTGCTGGATTTCTGCTTTCCAGGTCCTTTGGGCAGAGATGCAAGTATTACTTGGGACTCAGGGTCAGTGCAAGATAGCGGTGGGTTACAGGTCAGTTTTGGTGCCTAGTCTGGGGTATGTGGGACATTAAAACAAAGTAGCAGCAGGAACAACAACAAAAAGTGAGTTTTAAAAATTATTTCCTATGAGTAATTTCCAGATATTTAAATTGTATTTAAAGGAGAAAAACAGGGAAAAATAAGTTCACATCACCTTGTTCTAGAACCAGAAACCCAAGTCTAACTTTGACCACACATGCAAATATTAGCAAAACATTAATAAATCGAATTCAGCAATGTGTAAACTGTATATTAGATGTAAAATCCCAAGAATGTAGTGTTGTTTTCATATTAGAAAAATATTTTTTGTAATTTACTAATTAATAAACTAAAGACAAAAACCATGACATTCATGATCAATATAAGTAAATTAGATAAAATTTAAAGACCTTTCAGGATAAAAATACTTACCAAACCAGGCTTGTCCATACAAAAGCAATGCATCTGTTGAAAAAAATTGACAGTGCCAGACGTGGTGGTGCATGTCTTGAACCCCAGCACTCAGGAGGCTGAGGCAGGAATCTTGCTGTGGGTTTGAGATCAGCCTGGGCTACATAGTAAGTTCAAGGCCAGCCTGAACTATATAGTGAGACCCTGTCACACACACACAAAAAATTGACAGAAGCCATAATTGATAACAAATATTGAAATCTTTTCTCTGAAATCAGGACAGAAAAAAAGAAGCACACTATTTACATTTTTATTAAATACTAATACTTCCAGCTAGTGAGAAAAGGCAAAAAAAAAGATGTAAAAGACATAAGAATGGGAAAATAAAATAGAATACTATTATTTGGAAATGATATGATGATGCACATGAAACAGAAAAATATTAGGATTATAAGGGTTTATCAATATTAATGAAGGCAAAATTATAAATGAAATCAGTTATTTTCTATTTAATAGTGAGAAGCATTAGATGAAATTGAAAAATGATACCTTTGAACATGAAACTATCAAAACTAACCATGAGCCTAGAATTAAATGTAACAAAGTATGTATAAGACTTATATTGTAAAGCTTTTTTGAGGCACATTAATAAACCTATCTGAATGAAGAGATTTGAATGAAAAGAGGTATCATGATACTCATGGCTATTAAAACTTTCAAAAGTAAAAAACCTTAATCCCTCTCCAAACTGACCTATAAATTCAGTACAGTTTATGTCTATATCAGCAATCTAATTCTAAAATTTATTAAAAAAGCAAGGGCTAAAAATATAAGAATAGCTAAGCCTATTTTGTGGAATAAGACATAAGCCCTATTTTACCATTAAAGATCATTACTTATTATGAAATGTGGTCTTTCTGATTGTTTGACATTATTATAATAGGAAGGAACTGGAACAAAGGATAGAAAATTCAGAACCAGAGTCTTGAATTTATGGCCACTTGATTTATGAGGAAGTTGGCCCTGAAGAATTGGTGTGTTTAATAAATAGTACATCAAGCAATTGGATATCAATAAAAAAATAAAATGAAATTGAACCCCTACATGGCACCACACCAAAATTTAATTCTAGGTGGATTATTGAACCAAATGTGACAAGGCAAATTGGAAAGCTTTTAGAAGGTAATATAAATCTTTTTAGCCCCAGTATGAGGACAATTTTCTTAAACATGAAGCAGTGACCATAAATGATTAAATTGATAAATTAAGATAGATTAAATAAAAAAATTCTGTTCCTCAATATGCTGATAGTAAAAAGGAAGAACCCACAGACTTAACAAAAATATTAGAAGCTATAAGTGACAAAGAAATTATATGTAGGTGATATAAAGGCCTCTTAAAAACTAATAAGGAAAAAACACAATTAAATACAAACTAAATGTTTTAACAGTACCTTTACAAAGACAAAATACAAATGACCAGTAAACATGAAAAATGCTCAGTCTAATTTTTTAATTTTTTTGAAATAGGGCCTCACCATGTAGCTCAGGCTAGCCTTGAACTCTGTGTAGCCCAGGCTGGCCTCAAACTCACAGAAATCCCCCTGCCTCAGCCTCCTGAGCGCTGAGGTTATAGGTGTGTACCACCACACCCTACCTTAGTCTAATTATTAACAAGAGAAATCAACAAATTTAAGTCAATAGATGATATCATTGTTTACCCACTAGGCTGACAAAAGACAAGAATCTTGACAATAACATTGTTGAGACTGTGGAGTGACAGAAATTTTTATACACTATTAATGAGATTTGAATTTGAGTAATCATTTTGGAAATCTATTTTGCATTGGAAATTTGTATGATAGGTATCTTTTGACCCAGCAATTTCAATTGCGTGCATACCATGGAGGAATATGTATACATGTGTGTTGAATGACAACGAGCATGACAGTAGAGCTCAGTATAGCCCCAAACTTGAAACCACCCAAATGTGTATTCATTGTATATTTATGAAATGTAGTCACAGGGTACCCAGGTGAATCTTAAAAGTGGGGCAGAAGAAGCAGACTATGAAAGAACACAAACTGTCTCCAGGCCTGGTGGTATGCACCTGTAATCCCTGCACTCAAGATGCTGAGGCAGTAAGATTGCTACAAATTTGAGGTTCCTCTCCCAGACTATATAGTGAATTCAAGGCCAGCCTGAACTGCATATCAAGACCCTGTCTCAGAATTTAAAATGCAGATTGCTTCCATTTACATAAAGTACCAAAATAGGTAACACTAAATAAAACATAGACTTTGAGACTATGGTAGGTATAATAATGACCATCCCCACCACAATTCATACGCCGGGATTCTCACCACTTGTGGAGGACTTAGTGTTTGTAAGGTTAAAGACCTTAGATGGTGAAAGGCTTGTGTATTATCAGATAAACTCAGTATAATCACAAGGTCCATAAAAGTGGAAGAGAGAATTAAGAATTAGAGGAGAATATGATTATCCGAACCTGTAACCAAAGACATGTTTCTTTAAGTTTCAATGAATGCAAGTATACATAGGTGATGTTGCTATCCCAGAAGTTATTACAGAGAAAGTGCTAGATAGAGGAGGTTAGATATTGAATGGTTTTTTTCTTTTTTTCTATTTTTTTTTAGGGAGAATCAGACAGGAGCAATCAGGGTGTTGCAAGTCCTGATTACGCAGTGCAATAATCACGTGTCATATGATGTTCCAATCATCATTTTCTATCTATCCTCCAAATGGAGGTACAGGTAAGGATTATCCCACCTGACAATAGGGTGGTTTTTCTTATATGATAAACTCAAAGTATTAATAAAGAGCAAAATTAAGTGTAGATGATAGGAAATGGAGATAGACTTTTTGGAGATGGAAAGGGGGAAGGAGAGGAGTGAAAGGGATCAAGATATATGTATACTCTGGTGGATTGACAACTGGTGGTCAACTTGTAACACCCAGCTGGACTGAACCAGTGTGGTGCTGGGTGTGGGAGGCCCGCCTGAGGATCATTGCCAGCAGTATAAGAGCAAGAATGGGAGAAGAAGAAGAGAAGCTGTAGGGAGCTATTGGGAGCTGTTGGTTTTCCTGGAGGACATTGTCATGCTGCCTTTCCTGATGAACTCAGCTGTTCCCTTCCTTGAAGGAGCTGGGGACCTTACTGTTGCTCAGAATGGCTTTGGTTCACTTTGGGGGAGCTCTGGTCCTTACTTTGAGCATTGCTTCCTGGCTCCGGAGGGGAAGATGGTGCACTGCTCAGCCTCCTGGAGAAGCTTGCTGCATTGCCTTTCCTGATGGGAACTCAGCCTTCCTCATCAGTGGAGGTGCTAAGGACCTCACTGTTGGTGAGGATGGCTGTGGTACTTTCAGGGGAGCTCTGGTTCTTACCTTGAGCATCACCTCCTGGCTCCAGTTCAAATCCCTCAGTTTGCAAGCACAGATCCTTCATCCCATCAGCACAGACATTCTAGTTTCCACCACTGACCTTTGGGCCTTCCCAGTGCAGATCCATGAAACAGGCCTGCATGAGACATTGTCATGGGCTCTAGACCTCCAGTTGGACCCATGGGAGGCATTGTTATGGGCTCTAGGTCTTCAGCTGGACTCATGCAGGATGTTATTCTGGGATCCAGACACTCAAGTGGAGTCTTTGGTCTTTAGTGTGTGGACAGATTTCCTGCACTCTGTTTTGGTATATGATTCTTTGGATGACTGTTATAAATAATCTTATAAAATATGTGTCCTGTTTTATATTGTTCCCCTTGCAAGCCCCAAACTGCAACACATATATACCAGTTTTGCACAATGAATGTGTTTATCATGTGGGGGAAATACATACTAACAAAGAAAAAAGGATGAAAAAAACACCAAAAAAGAATTAGAGAAGGAGATGCAGTAATGGGACATGCTCCACCGCTGATTTGGA